ACGGAATGTATCCCTACTTTTTCAAGGCAAGTAAAGTCTTTTTTTATGCAAATTTTTTATATGCGCTTTTCTGTAGAATGTATCCACCGCATAAAACGAGACCTTACAGTATTCTATTTTATTATCATTTTAAAATGGAATTTAAGTTCTATTTACAAATTGTCTATTTTTTGATTTACTATTAGAGAATAAATAAACATCATTATTTATTGGTAATTTTATAATTTTAATAAAATGTTCTACTATTAAAATAAATTACTGTATATTTTTATTAAGTTAATTAACTCTTTACTAAAAACTTATTTAATTAAGATGTTTTAAAATTTCCTATATTAATGTGAGAATATGAGCGAGGGGACTGAGCCCTCTAATCGTCGAGTTGGTAAAACTCGCCCACTTTGTCTTTGGGATGGCTTTTTTTCGAGTGGTGAGTGGGTTGGGAAAGTCGACGGGGGTCCGTTTTTTGGAATGACAGGAAACAGGTTTTTAACAGACAACAACAAGAATTTATTATATAACTAAACCTATGATACATAAAACTAAGCCTAAGTTAGATGCAGTTAAATGAGGTTACATATACACTCCTCTGGAGGGGATTGACAAAAGTTTCTAATCAGCTCGCATGCTGACTTAATGACCTAGCTCTGTTGCTACTTCCGCTGAGAGCGAGTTTACAATAATCTGTAGATACCTTTATATTTGTTGGTCAAATTAGATGACATTCTATATAAAAATTAACTACACACTACACCTATATAAAAATTAACTACACACTACACCTATGTAACAATTGGTTCTGTGTATGTACACAGAACCAATTTACGGTGTGATACGATCGACTAACAAGTACAAAACAAACGTTTTTGAACCCCTTCTGGGCTCTTCATCAGGTTTTTACAGTTTTAGCTTGTAAATTTGATTACTGAATGCTTTTCAAATAACTTCATTCTTGAGTTCGAACAGTTCTTTTAAACTTATATTTTGCACATGCGTGACAAGTCTGCCTGCTCGGATATAACGAGCGGCTAAAGCGTGCTGTGTATCAACTCTTGCCAGGCCATCAACAAAATCATCTCCTCTTTAAAATTTATGCATGTAATTTCGATAGAGGATTTAAAGATGTGCAAAAGATGTTTTGTACTTGTTAGTCAATCGTACCACACTGTAAATTGGTTCTGTGTATGTGATAGATGACATTCGTTCGATCAGAGAGAGATGTATTTGAAGAGGACTGGCAATTGTATGGCAGGTCGTTAACTTGCATGGGCCGGGACAGTCTGTTTGTGGAAGTCCGCTGAACTTGGCACCTAGTCGTTGATTACTCCAAGCACTAATTAATCTATTCACCTTCCTTTTGATTTTGTATGGGACGACCACCCAGAACTTTGGAACTTCGGTGTCTCCACCTTTTATGCTTGGTGCCTGGGAAAATGATCATGTGATTGACTATTGATATGTCAAACGTTCACTCGCAGGTTCGTGCATAGGGTTTTTCTGATGACGTTTAATAGCAGCTGTCCCTCTTTCACAATCGAATGTTTTCTTTTTGCCATCTTGTTGTCAAAATTCCTCTCCGTTTGTTTAGAGAGAATGTCATCTGATCCCTTCTAAAGCGATGTTTTTTTTTTTTTTATAACAATCACATTAAGAAATTAAATTACAAAGCCACGTAATTTTGCGTGAGATTCGCTCATTCCTCCACTCAGACCTGTAGATAGGCTTGTGGGCTCACATTAATATAAAGTAATAATTTTATTGTTATTTTTATAAATCAGCTTACTGTGAGATGATTAATTTTTTAACATTTAATTGTAGGGCTCCAGTACTAAGATTATTTTCATTTTTGTATCCAAAAGAAAAAGTTAAGGTAAAAAATTTTAATTTAATAAATTTTTGGTGATTAAATAAAAAATCATCAAGTTGCATTTGATATATGCTGTTATTGCATTGAAAACATTTTGATTTATTTATCTCATGAAACAATATGAGATATATTTTCACTTAGGCTTTAAAATCTTTACAAATAAAAGTAATTTTTAGTGATGGAACAATACCAAAATTTCTCCTGATTCTGATACAATTCCCAATTCCAGTTCTTTTGAATACTTTGTTTACTTTAGAAAAATTAATGATTTACATTATGAGCACAGTACATTCATTAATTAATATACATGAAGCTTAAGAATGGAAAACAATTGAAAATCCAGAATCAATTTTTTGAAAGAAACTGAAAATTCTCCAGTTAACGTGGATATGCTTTTATTGTGTACTACAAAATAAATTTGTAATCTTATTTCAGATAAAGTTAATATTGCAACACTACCATCAAAGAAATTACAGCTAATTCCGTTTTACTCAAAGAATTATTCTATCATGTCATCTAGGGTCACCATCTTTGAAAACTGCTTCATTGACTGATGCAATGACTGGGGAAGGGGAAAGGTAAATGAAAAGTTGCACTTTTTTCATGCTTCTCACAATCGACATGTCTTGTGAATGCTTTAATTTCATCATATTTAACACTAAATGAGGTTTGGCAAGTAATGCAACGAGCCAAACAAATATCATCATCATGAGTTAACCAATTTTTGAATTCATTCACTTGAGCTACAAATGTCTAGACTGACTCATCTTGAAAAATCAATTTTTAAAATTTAAAATGGCAATAAACTTAGTACAAACAAGTAATTTTACTCAGAATCGCATGAATCGCATTTCATAATTTAATGTATTACAACATCATCTGTGAATCATAACAAAAACATTCATAATTACAATGAGAATGTCATTTTATCATTATAAGTAAATGTAATAAATATTAAAAATAATTTTATTTATATTTTAAACTGTTTTGCTGACGAATAAATATTTTTGCTGACCACAGCCTTGATTTGAAACTATATAGCCTGATATTTCAATCAATGTTAACTCGCTTATAATTAAAATTTTAAAAAGCAGGCAAATTTATAAAACAAAAATTAATGAAATTACTAAAAAATTAAAATAAATTTAAATTTGATTATCTTTTATGTGAAACAACACTAAAACAATTTCTATAGTTATGTCTCAAAAAAAGCATTGCAATTAATTTAAAAAATTGTACTTAAGGGTTCAAAAAAGGCAGACAAAATTAATGCAAAATTAAATAAATAAAAATTATTAAAAATAATAGAATAATAATTAAAACTTTCACCTTTACACCAAAACCAAAAATAAAATTAAAATCAAATCAATTGAAAATTAAAACAATTTTTTTAAAACCGTTTAAAAGTTATTTTGAAATTTTCAAATTGTAAATCAAATTAATTTTTAAATTTGTTATTTGTGTGGTAGTGACAGAACATTTTGCTTTTAATTGATATATATATACAGGATACAGATTGTCAATCAAGCAGCCCAATGCAAGCCAGATGGCAACCCTAAAGTCACCTTATCGCCCCTAAAATGGGGTCAGTTGGTACCGACCAAGTGCAGTGTCTCATTGCTCGTGTAGCCTGAGACTTCTGACTACATGATAGAAAAGTCCACCATGACAGACATTACTTTGTGTATGGGGTATCACATGCTCTTTGCTACATTGATATGAAAGTTTCTGATAAACTAATATTTAATTGTTAATATCGTACTTTTAAAAATTTTTAATCTTCATCTGAACAAATAATTAATTTTCCTGTAAAATGTGGAAGAATCAGAAATTGTGACAAGATTTGCTTGATTTCGATTCCAATTACTGGAAAATGCCCAATTTTTCCGATTCTGATTCCAATTAATTGTCCCATCACTATTATTTTTATATCTTATGTACAAAGCATTACACTTATTATTAATAAAATATTTTGTGATTTATTGATTTTCATATGTTTTTAATTTAAACTTCCAAATCATTAGTATATTAACTGTTATAATAGACATGGAATTCATATAATTCAGTTGTCTATTGAATTTGAAATTTTTTGAAATTATAATTAGTAATGGAATTTATTTATATTTTTTTAATATGAACACTACTCTCATGTAAATTTTTACTTTGTTGCTCCATTTTTAGACACAATTTTTTGCCTAATATTATTAGATTAGATCTTACTCCAGCATCAACTACATTCGATAATGAAGAACAATGAATGAATGAATGTCAATCTGAAATTGATTTAAAGTGAAATTGAATCAAATTATGAAAGTAATGTCAGTGAATTATAACATAATACTGTAGAATAATTTGTTTCTAGTTGTAAGATGTACTTGGAATGAGATACCATTATGTTTCTAGATATCATTTAACACACCAGAACTATTAATATTATTTATATTGTGCTTTTTGAAATTTTTAAGTTTCTTTCAAGATTTTCCTAGAGCATCAAGTTATGTATATATTGAGTTGTACATAAGATGATATATATATTTTATCTTTATATTTTGTGGGCTCTAAGAGGGCCTTCAACTGTACCTGTGGGTTCAGCCAAGCTCACAGTAGGGGCAGCTAGTGGTGAGAGATGACTAACATATGCAGGACAGACATTCATGAAAATTTCCTGGAGTATTTTGACCACCTGGATTTATCCCAAGTCCCTGGAGTTGTAGGCTGATTCCTTAACTGTCTCAGCCATTGTATTTTTTAGTTTATAAATTGACTTTTTTAATGATCATAAAAAGTTCTAATCATAGTCTGCTTTGAATAATAATTTCATTATACAGTGTGATTGTAAAGTCACTCTGCAGCAGACCATGTCCATGTAGCCTATGACTTCATTATTTCATTTCTGGAAGCTCCTTCTGTTTCTCCATCTACTGCAGAGTGACTTTACAATTGCACTGTATATAACAAAATATATTATTAGATACATTAAAAATTACTATTTTCCAAAATATCTATTTTAGAAAATAGTAATTTCCCAAGCATTATATTTCAATAGCATTTTAAGATTTCACTAAAATTAATTAAAATATAATATAAATATTTTTTTATCATACAAATTTATGTATTTTTTTTTTTAATTAATTAGATTGAAATAAGCATGAATGACAAAACTGAAAATTATGATGTTGAATTATTTAAAAATATTGATATTGAAGAAAATAAATCCACAGTACAAATTGAAAAGAAAAATAATCTTAAGACTGGAACAAACACTTATCGCTTGGAAGATCTGGCTTATACTAGAAGTGGTGATAAAGGAGATACTGCAAATATTGGTAAATAAAGTATTTTAAATTGCAACTCGTATTTAATTTATACAGAGAATAAATTCATCTATATCTCTATATTTGTATTCATCTATATCTTTATTTTTTATTTTTATATATATATAAAATCTTTTAAAATTAAAAAAAATTGAATTAATAAACTCTAATATACTATAATCATCATTTACCCCGCAGCTTGTGAATAATAATTCACAAGTGTGTATTCATTTTGCCTTTCCATACATGACATTGTATTACAAAGAGATTCTACAGATAAAATACCTGTAAAACACTTTTCTAAAAAACTTGTCTAAATATTTTATTTGATATTTATTTTTTAAGTTTTAATAATTTAATAAATGAAAATGTAAAAATATATATTTACAAATATATCATATTTTGTATGTTTAAATTATGCTGATGGAAAGTGACATTAGTCTTTGATTTTATATCTAGTCTTAACTGCTAAATCATTTGGCCATCCAAGGAATAATTACAATTGGCAAAGGGTTTTTTTTTTCTAAAAGTATCTCATTTCTATCAAACAAACTTTTAAAAATTTATTTCATTTTATCCAAATTATAAATTGCTAACAATATTTATTTTCTATCAAAGTAGAAAGATGCCACTTTATATTAAAAGTGATAATGAAGAATAATGAATGAATGAATGTCAATCTAAAATTGATTTAAAGTGAAATTGAATCAAATTATGAAAGTAATGTCAGTAGAATTATAACATAATACTGTAGAATTACAGAAATAAAGGCAAATGATTTGCTAAATTATTGGGCTATTTTCAGGAAACTTTAATAATTCGTTACCAATTAATTTGATTAGAGGTGGGCCTTGAGTTTGATGTTATTGTATATGTTACCGGCAAAGTTTGAAATCCGGCATTCTATAGAATGCCTAGGCATTGTATATAATGCCTAAAACTAGCCGGCNTTTACACCAAAACCAAAAATAAAATTAAAATCAAATCAATTGAAAATTAAAACAATTTTTTTAAAACCGTTTAAAAGTTATTTTGAAATTTTCAAATTGTAAATCAAATTAATTTTTAAATTTGTTATTTGTGTGGTAGTGACAGAACATTTTGCTTTTAATTGATATATATATACAGGATACAGATTGTCAATCAAGCAGCCCAATGCAAGCCAGATGGCAACCCTAAAGTCACCTTATCGCCCCTAAAATGGGGTCAGTTGGTACCGACCAAGTGCAGTGTCTCATTGCTCGTGTAGCCTGAGACTTCTGACTACATGATAGAAAAGTCCACCATGACAGACATTACTTTGTGTATGGGGTATCACATGCTCTTTGCTACATTGATATGAAAGTTTCTGATAAACTAATATTTAATTGTTAATATCGTACTTTTAAAAATTTTTAATCTTCATCTGAACAAATAATTAATTTTCCTGTAAAATGTGGAAGAATCAGAAATTGTGACAAGATTTGCTTGATTTCGATTCCAATTACTGGAAAATGCCCAATTTTTCCGATTCTGATTCCAATTAATTGTCCCATCACTATTATTTTTATATCTTATGTACAAAGCATTACACTTATTATTAATAAAATATTTTGTGATTTATTGATTTTCATATGTTTTTAATTTAAACTTCCAAATCATTAGTATATTAACTGTTATAATAGACATGGAATTCATATAATTCAGTTGTCTATTGAATTTGAAATTTTTTGAAATTATAATTAGTAATGGAATTTATTTATATTTTTTTAATATGAACACTACTCTCATGTAAATTTTTACTTTGTTGCTCCATTTTTAGACACAATTTTTTGCCTAATATTATTAGATTAGATCTTACTCCAGCATCAACTACATTCGATAATGAAGAACAATGAATGAATGAATGTCAATCTGAAATTGATTTAAAGTGAAATTGAATCAAATTATGAAAGTAATGTCAGTGAATTATAACATAATACTGTAGAATAATTTGTTTCTAGTTGTAAGATGTACTTGGAATGAGATACCATTATGTTTCTAGATATCATTTAACACACCAGAACTATTAATATTATTTATATTGTGCTTTTTGAAATTTTTAAGTTTCTTTCAAGATTTTCCTAGAGCATCAAGTTATGTATATATTGAGTTGTACATAAGATGATATATATATTTTATCTTTATATTTTGTGGGCTCTAAGAGGGCCTTCAACTGTACCTGTGGGTTCAGCCAAGCTCACAGTAGGGGCAGCTAGTGGTGAGAGATGACTAACATATGCAGGACAGACATTCATGAAAATTTCCTGGAGTATTTTGACCACCTGGATTTATCCCAAGTCCCTGGAGTTGTAGGCTGATTCCTTAACTGTCTCAGCCATTGTATTTTTTAGTTTATAAATTGACTTTTTTAATGATCATAAAAAGTTCTAATCATAGTCTGCTTTGAATAATAATTTCATTATACAGTGTGATTGTAAAGTCACTCTGCAGCAGACCATGTCCATGTAGCCTATGACTTCATTATTTCATTTCTGGAAGCTCCTTCTGTTTCTCCATCTACTGCAGAGTGACTTTACAATTGCACTGTATATAACAAAATATATTATTAGATACATTAAAAATTACTATTTTCCAAAATATCTATTTTAGAAAATAGTAATTTCCCAAGCATTATATTTCAATAGCATTTTAAGATTTCACTAAAATTAATTAAAATATAATATAAATATTTTTTTATCATACAAATTTATGTATTTTTTTTTTTAATTAATTAGATTGAAATAAGCATGAATGACAAAACTGAAAATTATGATGTTGAATTATTTAAAAATATTGATATTGAAGAAAATAAATCCACAGTACAAATTGAAAAGAAAAATAATCTTAAGACTGGAACAAACACTTATCGCTTGGAAGATCTGGCTTATACTAGAAGTGGTGATAAAGGAGATACTGCAAATATTGGTAAATAAAGTATTTTAAATTGCAACTCGTATTTAATTTATACAGAGAATAAATTCATCTATATCTCTATATTTGTATTCATCTATATCTTTATTTTTTATTTTTATATATATATAAAATCTTTTAAAATTAAAAAAAATTGAATTAATAAACTCTAATATACTATAATCATCATTTACCCCGCAGCTTGTGAATAATAATTCACAAGTGTGTATTCATTTTGCCTTTCCATACATGACATTGTATTACAAAGAGATTCTACAGATAAAATACCTGTAAAACACTTTTCTAAAAAACTTGTCTAAATATTTTATTTGATATTTATTTTTTAAGTTTTAATAATTTAATAAATGAAAATGTAAAAATATATATTTACAAATATATCATATTTTGTATGTTTAAATTATGCTGATGGAAAGTGACATTAGTCTTTGATNTGCCAAAATATGAAATGTCTTTGCGTGAAAAATGTAATGAAATGTAATTCAAAATGTCATTCAAGCCTACCATGTTGCAACAAGTAGGTTAATTGTAATTTTTTATATGAAAATTTTGTTTCCCTTAATAAGAAAGGCATAAATTTTGTTTTGTACAACTTTCATTTTTCTTTACGTATTTTGAATAAATTTTTTTAATGGCACTCTCATTATTTTTTCAGAATAACATTTGTATTTTTGAGGAATGCACGTCATTTATATAATAGCCTTATCAGAACCTTTTTTCATACTTTGCCTAAATAGCATTTGTCATTCTATACAATGCCTAGGGAAAGTATGTAATAATTCTCATATTTCATAGATTGCCTAAAAACGCTAGGCATTATATACAATGCCTAGGTATTCTATAGAATGCCAGCTTTTCATACTTTGCCGGTAACATATACAATTAAAAAAATATTTTTTTCAAGTTAAAAATTCAATAAATTAATGTTTTAATAATATTTAAATGAAAATTTTTTAATGTTTTATCTCACTATATAGTTTAATAAATTTTAAAACAAAAATTTCTGTATCATTATTTGAATATTATAAAATAAAATAGTTAAGAGATTAGTAATTCAATTATTTTAAATTTGTTTACTTAAATTTACTTCAATAATTTTTCTGAATTAATATATTTTATTATCTAACTACTGTATACTGTATGATTTTTCATAGGTGTGATTGCACGTCATCCTTTATTTGTTCCGTATCTTGAACATTATTTAAGTGAAGCTGCTGTAGCAGATTATTTTGTTCATTTATTTGAAAACTCTGAGTCACCACATCATAATGTTAAAAGGTAATAATTTGTTAATGCCTAAATTTTTATGAAAGATTATACAGGGACAAGAAAATGGTATCTTAATGAGTAAACACTCTCTCAACATTATACTAAACATTAAATGTATCAATGATTTTTGAGTTAGTCTCATCGTACTTAAACACAATACATGTAGTGAATCAGTTTTCATTTTTACAAAATGTATGTCATTTAACAGAAGTATTGAGAACTTAGTCATATAGAGTATTATTGCTAGAATAGATAGTTGGAACAGTAGAGTCCCGAAAACTTGGCCTAATGTGGATCGAAGGGTGGCCAAGTTTGTGAAAATGCCAGGTTATCGGAAATGGGGTTAAAAAAAATAAGTACGAGTGTGGAGTCCTCAGAAAATACTGTACTGTACTTGTATGTATTGTTTGCTTGAGAATACAACAAAGAATAAACTGCCCAAATACCCTTAAACAAGGGAAAAGTACGTTCTTTATGAAGGCAAAGAGCCATTACTACATGAAAATGAAAATTAATGAATACACAGTGTAAGTAATTTACCTGATAAGACAGACCTCAGAAAAATACTTTATGAAACATAAATCTGTCTATAATGAAAATGGACTAGGGATTTTTTCGCTCTGCCAGTGTGTGACTGAGTTATCCGGACTGCCGGGTTATCGAGTGCTGAATTTTCAGGACTCTACTGTAGCACCATTGATATCTTTTGTTTCTAGTTGTAAGATGTACTTGGAATGAGATACCATTATGTTTCTAGATATCATTTAACATCACCAGAACTATTATTATTATTTATATTGTGCTTTTTGAAATTTTTAAGTTTCTTTCAAGATTTTCCTAGAATATTTATTTTCTCATTTTATATGTTCAAGACTTGCTTTCTTTGTTTTTTTGAATCTTACTCATAACTGAATATTTCTAATCTTTCTTGATAGGTGCTCTCATTCACTTGGTGTTAAAATTCTTTTTATCTTATTGACTTGTCAATTCTGGTGGAACATAGAAATAGAATATTCCAAATTCTTTATTTGGAAAGAGAAAATTTGAAGAAAGAGGGAAATAGCAATTGATTATTAAATTCATGGAAAAAGTAATAAAAATGGATATAATTTATTTACATATTTTAGTATAAAATATCTTGATAATTTGGCAATTCAACATTGTTTTAATCTTTAAGCTTAAAATGTAAAATATGTTGGAATTAGTATAAAAACAATTTGATTATTAATTTGAGTAAGAATTCTTAACTGATGAATTTTTATTTATAAATATTACAAATTATGTAATTTCAAAGTAATGTATAAAAAATGTTAGTAAATTTTATTAGTAGTTTGTGAATTTTTAATCCTACCATTAAATTTCCCATTGATATTTTCAATATAAAGATCTACTAAAGATTTAATTTGATCAATTTATTTCTTCACTACATTTGAAAATCATTTTATATCTTTCTGCAATACTTATTACACTAAATACAATGTAATTTCTTAAAATTATTTATATTTTAATGAATATTTAGTGAGATAATTAGTTTAAATTTAGAGAACAGTAAAAAGAGAGTCAAAATTTGCTTTGAAATATTTTTTAGTTTTTCTGATAAAACAGCCTATTTCATTTCTTTCTACAGTAATTACATTTATAACTTTATATATTTCTAAATCAACATAGGAACAGTTTTAAAAAATTTAATCAAAAATGTTTTTATTATTTTAAAATAATTTTCCAAACAAATTCAAAATTATGAATATAAAAGAAATTTTTCAGTCAAAAATTTGTGTTAATAATAATAAATTTGTAATATATTTTTCAATTTATATTCAGTTATACAATTTGAACGAAAAATTTTAGGTTTTTTGAGAGAGGGTTTATAAAATATCACTTGTTCTCACAAATTATCTCTCTTTAAACTTAAAATTTTTTTATATCAATGTTTTATTTTTAACTTATTGTATTATTTATTTAATAATAATTATTTTATTTATTTTCACACAAACATTTAAACCAAATGCAAAATGATCCATCTTTATTTTTCTTTTCTTTTTGTAATAGTTTATTAATGTTTCAAATAGAAATTCTCCAATAATTATGTATATATAAAATATTCTGTATTTTATATCACCTATATGTATATAGGCTCAGTGTCATAAATTAAAATTTTGTTCCTGAAAATGTAGTTTTGAACTAAATAATATCATACAAAAATGGCCTACAAAAAACAGATGGCATTTCATAGTTATAATAGAAAATTTTAAATGGGATGTTATAAAGTAAAGAATCTAATGAATTTGCTATAATTCCTAAGCTTATTATTTCATTATTTAGCAATTTTTTATTTATCAATTATATTTTGATTTATAAATATTGTAGATTTTATTACTGTTTATCAAAATACATTATTTAATATTAATGATATATTTAATTTTATAGATACTATTTGCCAGGAATAAATGCTTTTAATTTTGTGCTGAACAGAGCATTAGGTGGTGGTGGTATTGCATCTTTAAGAAGTGATCCACAGGTATAACTTTATAATTAAAAAGTATATTAAATAGAAAAATGAAAATAATACACTCAAAGTGCACTATTAGTATTAGTTTTATATTTATAATGAAATAAAAAATTTAAAATTTGTTTAAATATATTTTCCTATTTCAAATTATATATACAACTTCTGAATTCTAAGGAATATCTAATTGGGCTGTTATCCATCTGTTTGTTTGTCTGTCTATCTTTCCTTAATCTTGAGAATGGTGTTAGATAAATGAAATTCAAGACCAGTTAAGGAAAGCTTAGGGGCAAGAGGCCCCAATTAACTGTATATAAACTTCTGATGCAAACTGGAAGTCACATTATTTCAATTCAAAAGTTTTTCCTTGAAAAGTGTTAGATAGATGACTGGCATGACTCTGTTGTTAGTAGGAAAGTATGATGTACAGGGGCAAGACACTACTAATTTGAGATGAAGACTGGCATCAGATAGGAGCAGGATATAAAACTTATAAATTAGTATGGAATGAATCTTGATTATGTGTATCATAAAAAGGATATCTCTAAATTTATGCATTGTAATAGTTCCTGATTGCAATCTCAAATAGACAAGAATTCCCACATCAATGTGAATTGAGACTGCTAAGAAAATTAGTCTGAAATATACAAATAGTGATTTAGAACATCAATTTCCTAACTAGGACATCAAAAATGATGAAAGTCTTCCATAGAACATGGAGAAATGACAGATGGATATTAAAGAAATCATTGAAAAGCCAGCCATGAACATAATTTCAAATATTCATGGCAGTTTCTTCCCATTTAGATCTAGATTCCAGGACCCAGATGGATTAGCAGGGACTTTAATGGCCACCGTAGTACTCAAAAGTGTGTATATGAGAAATTATATCAGGCCAATACACAGGATTTTTAAAAGTGTGACGTTTTAAAAAAATATTATTTTTTCATAAATATAATTTTTTTCATTACATAGTTAATTAATTTTTACAATATGCTTATATAGAGTAACACAATACATTAGACTAAGGAGAAAATGAATATATACAAAAAAAAACATGCAAGTTATGTGCAATATTCTATTTAATTTTTTATTTCTTCTCAAATAGGAAGGGTTAAACTCTAAAACTGGTGTGCATAACTGTGGAGTATATAGTAGTTATGAACTGGGAGATAAGAATGAGATAAGAGAAAAAGTACACTGAAACTGCCTATAGCTAATAACTAAATTATGAATATTTTCTTTCAAAAAAGAAAATGTATATTGAATATGTACAAAATAATTTTTATTTAATATATAGAAAAATTATTTACACATAAAAATAAAGGATTGAAAGAACTGTAAGGCCTATTAAATAATACTAGGAGAATATTTAACACAACACAACAATAGCAATAATGTTATTGCTGATCATTACTGCTATTAAAACAGAAATCTAAGGAAAAATAGAAACTCATGAGAAGTCAAAATGTTGAAACATAATAGGTGAAAAATAAAGATAATTCCAAAAGAATTGACTGAGAAAGAAAATAGTTTGAATTAAGAAGATAATGTTAAGTGTCTGGGAACAGATATAAAAATAGTTTCACTAGTGTTTAATAGTGTGCAAGTACTTGGCGATTTGAAAGACTGCTGAAAACATAATGAGCAACAGTTGAGGAAGATATGGAAATATGTAGAGTAACAGCAGAGAAAGCTCAAACCAGAAATCAGTAGAAAATAGAGACTCACAAGGACATTTAAAAATCAGGAAAAAGACAAAGATGAAAATAATGTAGTTTTTTTTATAATTTTCAATTTTATCTCAGTAAATCTAGTTTTTATTCAAATAATAATTTTTTTCCTTACAGATTATAGTTAATCTTACAACATAAAAAATGTCAAATTGAATCTACTTATTTTTTGTTAAACAATTTCTTGTAATAAAAATTTTGATCTATATCATATACAGTAAGACCCCACTTAACACATGGGATACATTCCTAGATGACAAAGCACTAAATGAAATAGTGTTAAATGAGGTCATTTTAACACAGAGTAAATAGGGAAAGGGGAACATGCGACCAAAAATAAACAGATTTTACTTTAATTTTAAGTTATTTTTATATTAATTTTCACATAATATATGTTAAATAACACATAAACATATGCACACAGAAATGTAAAGTTCATTTTTTGTGACAAAGGTTTTGGCTCTTCTGAAATTCTTGTTTTTTTGTGATAAAGTTGTGTAGTGTTATTTATCACTTTTTCTTTCCTTAAGCAAATGTCGGTAGCAAGAGATCACATCAAAAATGTTTCATCTTGCTTTTGTACTCCTTTCAAAATCTGGATCATTCGCTACAATTTGATCAACAATTTCAGTTATCATTATCAAACTTTTACTAAGGAAATCTGTTGAGAAATTCTTTGGGTTCTTTGTTTTCAGAATCACTATTTTCCAGTTCTACATAAATTCCTTGTTCTGCCAGTTCTTGAAGGTCTTTGTTGGTAAGGCTCTTACCAGAAACCTGCGGTAACTCCTCAATATCCTGATTGTCTACATCTTTTAGTCCTGCTGTATTAATTAGGTTGACAATTTGGTCAACCTAATGATACAGCAATAGGTTCTTCTCGTTGAGAATTCTTGGATACCTTCAGCTATAACGTCTTCCACACTCTGTTCAGGCATTTATCAGTTAATTCTTGCCAAGCAGTCAATTTTGCCTATGGTATCCATGATATTATATTTTTTCCAAAATTGCACCAAACATAGATTTAAGGAAAGTACACTGCTACAACGAATTGCCACCTTTTACTGATTGGTTCATGTTTGGGAATAATCATATTATATATGAATCAATGAAATGCTGCAATAATTTGAATCAGCGTAAATTTTGAGCTTTTTTTTAAGACTTCAAGCAGACCACGTTATATCAAATCCAAGTGTTAAGTGGGGTCTTACTGTACTATAATATTTATCAGATCATCAGTAACTTTTTAAAAAAAGATAAGAGATATGATTATTAAAACTTAAACAAATTAAGTTTATAATTATCAATTATAATCACTACTAATTATTTTTTTATCAATAAAGTATTTTAATGTATGGACTGTTTATTTTGAAAGTGGTGTAAGTCCATTTTTGGAAAAAATTGAGAAATTACATAATTTACATATAATTTAGTGTGAACGTTTTATTTATACACAGTTCACTCATAGTATTTTTAAAATAACCACACACTTTGATCAATTAAAATTTTGTCAGTAAATGATATTGCATAACCATTGATTATGAAAGTGGTGTAAGTCAATTTCTACAGGCTGTTCATAAATTACATCTGCATTTTTCTTGAAATTTTTACTCCCTCCTCTTGTCCCAGATTATCCAAGTTTCTGTAATCCCTTCCCCTCTTTGGACATCCAACATAACTCAACCCTCATTAAAACCTTCATCACTTTATGAATGATAGATACCATCAGTAGAAATGAAATGTACAAGAAATTTTGAAATAAATGTAATAAAATGCATAAACTATAAAATTTAATGAAATAAATGAATGTCCACTAACTCCCCCTCTCCCTCCCCCCTTGTTTGACTTGTCTTAACTGTCTTCCTCCCTTCCAGTGTGGACATCATTTATGATAGCCCCTTATAAGAGAGGAATAAAACTATAAATTTTACCAACAAAAACACAATTTGATGGAATAGAAATAAATGGAATGAAAAAAATCCATATGACGAGCCTAAATGAAAAGCAGTGTCTAATGATAAGCTCATAATAATAATAAACTTATCATAAAATAGTTTAACAATAAGTAAATATTTTTAATATTGAGAATAAACAACAGTATTTTATTTCTTGTTATTATTTATAAACAAAATCAGAATAAAACACAATGTATTTCAAGTGAAATTGAATTTTACATAATTGAAATTTAATGACTTTTACAGTTCAATAATTATGAAAGTCCATTTACAACCCAGAAAGAATATATTGGTTTAGTTGAATTCACATAGAAGTTTTTATGTAATCAGCTTACATGTTTCCAAAGTCACAAAGACATAGAAACAATGCCACAATTTATTTATATTTTTGAACTGACTAAAGTGCAAACCTTTAAATATTTTGAAAGGAGAAAAAATAGACTTAAACCACTTTTAAAATAAACGGTCGTTTAATAATGGTAGTTTCTATAAATATTTTGATATGCTATTGATTTTTAAGAATGTTACAAGAGAGAATTTTTTTTCAGGGGAAAGCATTGGGCCAAATACTTCTGGATTTTGAATTTCAGAATATGCCAACTATTGAAGAGATTAAAAATAAATAAAAATGAGTTATGATAACTAGTAAAATAGAATCAAACTAGTACAAATAGTGCCAAATAATTAAAAAGTAAATTTTTTGTCAAACTGATTATATATTATGCTAATTTCATAAAATGAAATGTTCCATTTTGAAACAAATACAAATATTACATTTGTATAAAAATATCTACATAATTTTTAAAATATTCTATTTTTATAAATTTTATAACATGAATTATAATCATGTTGTTTGATATTTGAATATTTTTGTACTAATAAATGTATGTTATATATTTTTATTTTGGCTTTTAAATTATTTTAATAAGAAAAATGTATTCATATCAGTTATTATTAAATCTAAAATGCAATACAGATATTTAATTTTTTAAGTTAATTAAATTATTTCATAGATTAGGAATGAACTAACTTTTTCCTCAAAAAAATTACAAAACTTTCCTCTTTAACCCAATAACTTTTTCAATTCTATAATAGCTCTTTCATTTTCTAATGATAAAAATAAATGTTGTTAATGTTATTTTATTGTTAAATAAAGTTTTTATTAAAGGAGAATATAAGAATCTTCTCTTGCTATAAATCTGAAAATTATACTGATTAATTAATTTTAATATATTAATGCCTATATTAATGTGGTCCACATTAATTTCTACAGTAGAACATCGATTATCCGAATACCTATGAACCGAAACGTCGATTAACCTAAAGTGTTCCAGTTGGCAAATCCAAATTTCTGCTAGTGCTATGGTGCTGCAGCACTCTCCCTCTCCCTGTCAATGTAAATTGTCGGCCTACTTTAATGTACTACTTTATGTAAGATATGTATTCGTAAGACATGTGATACAAAATATATACAGTACAGTTCAGTGCTTAAGATATTTTTCATAAATGATCAGTTATCCGAACAACCCCAGTCCCAAATTGTTTCGGATAATCGATGCTCTACTGTATATCATTATCGAGAATAATTTAAAAACTGTCCGTTTCACAATTGTTATATAGAAATAAGTTCTTACTTAATTTAAGAGAGATAGATATATGATATATTCCAATTTACTAAAATACAATTTACTTGTAAAGCTGTTTATAATTACATAATTAAAATATAAAAATTATAACAATAAACATCTTCACTTTACATCCTTTTCATATACCTCAGAAACACAATTGTCTTTTTGATGAAATTGACCTTTTATTAGAGCTGCTCATCCATATCAATATGCAAAAGACATTAAAAAATTCCAGAGTGTAGCACTAATATAAAAATATATACAGACATATCTCAGTTAATGAAGAGGATGTGTTCCACAAAGTTTCTTCATTAATCAAAACTTAGTATTTTTACTTCTGAATTTTAATATTTTTATGTTAAATGGCACTTGAAATTGCAGACTTTGTTACCAAAGATAGTGTTAACCTAGGTATGCTTATATATACAGTAGAGCGTCGATTATCCAAATCAATTGGGGACTGGGGTTGTTCGGAAAATCGATATTTCGGATAACCGATTCTGTACGAAAAAATATATTAACCTTTAATTAAATTTCTTATGACTGCTGTTTATATATAAATATTATAAAGTCTCTGTAAATCCGCACGAAAAATATATAAATTTTCGGTTTAGCGGTAGACCATCACACAGCAGATAGCTAATTACTTCTCTTTATTTAATCACTGTATATGCATTTCGGTCCTATTAAAGAACCCTCTTCAGTACTACAAAATATAAATATTATAATAAACCTTATGCGAGTAAAACTACCAATGTAACAATTAATATTTTAGTTTTTCATTACCATTTAGGTACACAGCTTGGATTCACATTTCATTAGCACTTTCATATCAAGTGTATTTAGTAACGTTTTCTGATTGTCTATGGTCGTATTTCTAAATTACTATA